CATCTTTGTGTTTGAAGTATTTGCCTTGCATAACCTGCACCCAAAGATCAGAACTATTGTTAAGAATTTGCCAGGCAAGTTTAATCATAAAAGCCATGTTTAAACTCCTAGCCGATCTTAATCCCAGTCCCCCTTGTTGTTTAGGTTTAAACACATATTCCCAGGAAATCAAGTGCACTTTCTTTTTATCATCCCTTGACCCCCACACAAATTGTCGGATTTTCTTATCAATTAAGTCACAAACTGAGGCTGGGAGAAGGGTAGTCTGCATTGCATAAGTGGGAATGGCGTTCAGAACAGAGAGGGCAAGTGTAACTCTTCCTGCAAGAGAGAGGGTTTTTGCCTTCCAAGAGGTCAATTTTTGGTCAATTTTGTCGATGAGATACTTATGGGTGTTCCTAGTGATCCTACCATGCAGAACAGGCACCCCTAGGTATCTACCTAAGTCAAGAGTCGATTGAATTCCAAGTTTTTCATAGATATCTCTCCTATCCCTATCTCTAGTGTTCTTGGAAAACAGAACTCTGGATTTTTCCTTGCTCACAAGCTCGCCTGAGGCTTCACAGAATCTTTCCACACAGAGATTCATGATTTCTGCTTGCCTCAAGGAAGCTTCAGCAAAGAGGACCAGATCGTCCGCAAAAAACAAATGAGACAGGGATGGTCATCCCGGGGAAAGACAGATGGGTTTCCACTTCTTCTCACTAACATCATTGGCTATGCAATGTCCTAATCTTTCAACACATAAAGTAAAGAGGTAAGGGCTAAGAGGACATCCCTGTCTGAGGCCTCTGCTGGGTTTGAAGCTCTGTGTTTCCCCTCCCTCCCAAAGGACTTGCATCTCCACTGTGTTGACGCACTTCATGATTATCTGAATAATGCTCTGAGGGAGACCAGCCAGGGTGATGGTTTCTTCCAGGAAATCCCAGTCAAGTCGATCATAAGCTTTTGCGAGGTCGAGTTTGAGGAGCATCATCCCCTTCTTGTCGGTTTTCCTTGCCATTGAGTGGACTGTTTCCTGCAGGATCAAGATATTGTCAGTGATGTGTCGTTTGGGGACAAAACTTGACTGATTAGGTTTAACCAAGTGGGGCATAAGGTGTTTGAGCTTGTTTGCTATACACTTCGCCACCACTTTATACCCCACGTTACAGAGACTGATGGGTCTGAAGTGGTTCATCGAGCTGGGAGAGTCGACTTTTGGAATGAGGACCAGCAGCGTCTCATTATGGAGTCAGATGTTGTCAAGAGTAGAGAAGCATCTCTGGATGGAGTTGCAGAAGTCCTTCCCCACAAGTTTCCAGCATCTCTGAAAGAAGAGGGCATGGAAACCGTCTTTCCCCGGCGCCTTTAACCCATTCATGTCTTTGACGATGCCATGGATCTCTTCCGGAGTTGGAACTCTTGTCAGTTGATCCCATTTGTAGTTTTCCATGGTAGGAAACTTAGCAGTGATGGCTTGCGGGTTACTTCTTGCTTTGGTAAACAGTTTCACATAGTGCTCTCTTGCCATCTTCTGTATCAAGTCTGGGTCAGTGATCCACTCTCCTTCTTCATTTTTCAGGCTCATGATTTTATTTCTTTTCCTCCTGCAGAGTGTGATGGTGTGGAAGAACCTGGAATTCTGGTCTCCATGTATGGTCCAATTAGCTCTTGATTTTTGGAGCCAGAGGATCTCTTCTTGCCATAGCACCTCTTCAAGTTCAATCCGGGTCTTCCTTTCCTCCTCCAGAGAAGTGGTGGAAGGCCTTCTCACATTCAGAACTTCCTGGGAGTGGAGAGCATCTGCTAGTCTCCTTTTCTTCTGGAAGATGTTCCCAAAGACCTTCTTATTCCATTCTTGCAGCTTGCTCGAGAGGTCCTGCAGGGCACAAGGGAGAAGCTGGCCACATTTCCAGGAGGAGGAGAAAAAGGGAAAGAAATTATCATGGGTCAACCATGGTGCAAGGAATTGGAAACGTCTCACCAATTTGGATTTGGCAAGGATGCTCTTGTTGCATATCAGGATTGGTCTGTGGTCTGACTTCATCTTGATCAAGTGAAAGACATGGGATTGAGGGAAACTGTGCTGCCATGCCAGGTTGCATAACCCTCTGTCAAGCCTCTCACGAACACCAGAATCCCCTTTAAACCATGTGAAACTTGGTCCGGTGAATCCCAGGTCCAGCAATCCGCAATCCTGAATACAATCCACGAAGGCTTTCGTCCTGGAGAAACTGAAGTTAGCTCCTCCTTGCTTCTCGTTTGGCCTTGTGATTGTGTTGAAATCTCCAAAAAGCAGCCAAGGGCAAGAGGTTCTTCGGCTAATGTCACGTAAAGCCGTCCAAAAATCACCTCTAGCATGCTCATTTGGGCTGGCATAGATGGCAGTGAGGACACAAAAATCTCCATTGGTTGCAGCACATTCAATGTGGATGTACTGCTTGTGGATCTCAGGCTGTTTCATTTGAACCTCCTTCTTGTTCCAAAGCATCCAGATTCCTCCACTGATTCCAGTAGCATCAGAAATCTCCCAAGAATCGAATCCAAGTGTTTTGATGACCTTGATAGCTTCCTCTCCACTGATTCGAGGCTCTAAAATGCAAACAACATTCGGGTTGTGAGTAGACTTATAGAAATCCAGGGTAGAACGAAATTTGAGGTGTTTTGCACCTCGGCAATTCCAGGAGAAGACCTTAATCATTAAAAAGTCAAGGATTAGGACACTTCCCTCACATCGACCCAAGGTCGAGACGTTCATTTGGAGTCGACGGCCATAGCCGTCTGTCCCCTTTCTTCGCTGCAACTTGGGATAGTTGACGAAGGGTTGGTTGCATTTTCTGGTTCAAGAGCATCCTTTCCTCCATTGGATTCAAAGTTGATCTTCCGAGGTTGGTGCTTCACATTTTCAGGTTGCTTGTTGTTCTTCTTATCAGGGGTTTTGGTGATCCTGAGTTGCATCTCCTTCATCTTTGGCTGATGGCCTGGTTTTGCATCCTTGGAAACCTCCTTGCTTGATCCACCCTTTGAAATGGAATGGGATGCAAGTTTGGTAGGGGTAGGATGTTGTGCCACCGCTGCTGGAGCGCAGAACTCCTTGCTAGCTGTATCTGGGGTCTTTTTTGGAATCAGGGCCTCCTGTTCCTTGGGGATGGCATTTGTCTTTGTTTTGACCTTAGAATTCTCTGGAGAAATCTTCTGATGTGGTTTTCGGTTTGGGTCCTTCGTCATGTTGTTGATGATCTTCTTCCCTTCTTTCTTGTTGTTCTCCACTTTCTTATCTTTCCCTTTTTCCTTGTTTTGATCCTCTTTCTGTTCACTCCCAGCCTTTCCACTTTCTGCACCAGTTTCCTCCATTCTATCCTGCTGTTCCTCAGCTGCCTCCTGGTAAGTTTCTCCGTCTTCCTCCTCGTTCGCTTCCCCTTCTAACACTGTGAATCTTGACCCGGTTTCTTGTGTCTGTTGGTTCTCCACCCCTGTCTCCTTCTTTCTTGTGTTGGAGGTTACCTGTTGTCGTGGTTTCCTATGATTCCTCGTAGCCAGCATCCATGGTCCGAAATCCTCCAATATCTCAGGCCTGATTTCTGGTTCAGCAGGTTTAAAACTTGTCTTCATCCTTTCTTCAGGTGATCCAATTGCGAGTCGAAGGTAGCTTGGAAATACCCATTACCAATATCCCCAATTCTGATTCCCCCGGTTTTCGCCCACATGTTCTGTATTTTCCTATGGATGAATGCAAAAGGGAAGATCTTACCCAGAACTCTGAAAGTGATGGCTCTTTTCCAGCGATTACGAACTCGGGCATCAGTACTTTTCTTGATTCGGATCGTGGGGCAGTCTGGATCGTCATCGACACCCTCCGCATCCGACTCGTCGGACATCAAATCATCCCCTTCTGGGATTGCTTCCGGCGGGCTGTTCCCAAGGAATGAATCCTTGTAGGAGGCCTTTGTTCCGCCCGATTCAGTTTCCATCTTCTTTACCTCAGCCTGTTTTTCTCCATCGGGATGATTCCCCAATCTAGTCGCTTCTTCTTCTTCTGCTTCGGATCTCGCCGTGGAAACGGCAAAATCCATTTCCCCTTCTCCAGAGAAGCCCTCTCCCCTGCTGGCTCTTGCTTGCTTGCTAGGTTGGCATGGCGTCGTCGACGGGGATCCATTTGGAGGCTTCAAACAGTGGTCGACCTCCGCCGTTGGAGGCTCGGCCCCAACGGTCATAATTGGAACGGGCGTACAGAACAGAACAGGAAGAGAGAGGGGAGAGCGAAAAACCAGACTCTCTCTCCTCTAATTCGTCGATTTTCTGTTCGACGATTTTACTTCTGTCCACAATTAACCTATATCCCAAATAAAACCCACCGCCGAAACCCATCAAACTCTGCAATCAGAGGATTGCCGCCGCAACCCACTGCCATCCCAAAAACCCTCCGCCACCAGACCAGAAACAAGCCGCCGAAACCCACTCCCCGTTTGCTGCCGTGACCCATTCCCTTTGCCCAAATCTAGCTCTTGGCGGCTTCTTCTTCTTGTCGTTCTCTCGCTTCTTTGACAAACGCAATCCTAGCTGCCTCAATCCCTTCCTAGCGACAAGCTGCGTTTTCACTCTGCTTCTTTCTCTTTGAAACACACAAGGAAACAGCGTTGGGGAAGGTGAGATACACTGCGGCCGCTGAATCAGGGATGCTGGCGCCGCCCTTAGCCTCACCCTCGCCATCTCCGCGCTCCTCCTCGTCTCTTCTTCTCGGCGGTGAACGGAGGAAAAGTAGGGAAGATCGACTACACCGAGATTGCAGGATGATGGGGGGATCATGCGTCAAGACCCGGATCGGCCAATCGACGCCCGTCGATGATTCAAACACGGTGAAGGTGTGTTTTTTTCGTAAATTGAGTTTCTACCTTGTTGATGCTTCTAATAATCGATTTTGGAAATTTTATGGAAGATGACAAATGGACGGAGGCGAGTTTCTTGTTAGTGTTGTTCTGATGATGATACCTTGTTGATAACGTGGAGTCTCATTCTCAGGTGATGAGAGATGGGAAGATTGTGCAATCTGGGAAGTACGACGAGCTGCTGGGATTAGGGACGGATTTTGAGACACTGGTAGCTGCTCATGACACTGCCATGGAACTCGTGGAAGCTGGTAACAATAACTCACATGGTAGTGAAGAAAATGGCCCCAAATCGCTAGGAGGAGCCCCTTTCAGCCCTGGAAGAGAAGCAGCAAACGGCAGTAGCGACAACAAGGTATCGTCATCAGAACAACACTAACATTTCCATTTCCAAACATTCGGTTGCCTATGAGAGGATTTGGAGTTAGTGAACGCGTTTCAGTTTTCGTATCTCTATGCGCGCAACTAAAATGCTATTGCTAAATCACATACGTGGGTCTAGATTAGTTTCAAAGTTTGTTATATCAGTTTTCTTTGGAATTCGCATAACCATGATTTTGTATGTTTGATTCTATGATTCGGGTGAGTCCTAAACAATCGTTTGACTGTGACCTTATTAGTAACATATCTGAGCTGTTTGAGGAGAGTTGATTTGAAAAGATGTTTAAACTGGTGTTTTGTTTTATGCGTAAGAAAGTTGCTGGTTTTCATCGGTGTTAGAAATTAAAACCCAAACCTATTATGCTAGCTCTTGAATGCATGCATCCCATTTGATACAATAGATCTAATTCAAACAAGTACTAGACTAATTTACTGTAATGTTGCCATACTTAAGAGAGTTTAATTTTGTTGTAGTTTCTGTTGATGTATGTTGCCGTTTTTACTTGGGGGGCATCTGCTGGCTACAAAATTATCTGCAAAGGGATTCTAGACGACCTTGATCACTGGTTCTACATCCTTAACTATGATTTATCAAGTGACCATGGAATGTAAACGTTGTGATTTGATCTTAGTTTTCTTCTTCCCGTTTTGATGTGTGGTTCTACTTGCTCGTTGTGATTGAATATGGAAAAATAGGATTGGCAATGCTGGCCACCTGTGTAACTTTCTGAGTTTTAGTACATTCTGTGTAACTTACTTTGTCTTCTCGGCTCCTTGGGTTGTGATCCTTCCCCTGAAATTATCCCTTTCTTCCAACAGAACTCATTACTCAACTGACCCTTCATCCCTCCACTACCTTCTTCCTATTCTCTGTACATAAAATACATGATTTGATCGTGAACTTCCCACTCTCATTTCATGTCCAGCACATGTTATGTAGAGAATTTGAGGGTCAATGACAAAAATTGCTTGCTATTCTTCTTTTGTAAATATTAGCTCTAGTAAGTCTCTTCTCCAAACTCTTGCTTGGCTTTCTGTTGACTACTTATGCAATTGAGCATTGAATGATAACTAAATACTGTGGACATGTAGCTGCAGATCTACTATCTCAGGTGCGTGGTTTTCCCTTCAGGATCTTCCATTATTGAGGGACAGGGAGTAATGGCATTGGTAGTATTATGTAGGAGGAGTGAACGCGAACGATATTTTGATGTGGTGTGATGTTCAGGCTGAGCATAGCCCTGATAGTTAGGTTATGGCTGTAGTTGTTGTGTCGGGGATGGCTTCAGCATGAAAGCTATTGAAGAGGAAAACAGTAGGCAGTGCCAAGGACTTATCAGAGGAGACTATGCGTATATGTCTCTTAAGCTTTGAGCCACGATGAGATCGTATGTGCGAGTGTTCTCATTTGTAGATTCCATTATATACTTGTTGGTTAGAGACAATCAAGCATATGCAACCCTTGATTGCACCACAACTCAGTTTGTTTCGTTGTAACGATTTAGAATACTGGTTTGGTGTCGTTTAATTAATGTTGAGAACAGGTTTCCTTAATTTGATTTGAGGTATCTTAAATCTTGGCCCTCTTTGCGTCTGCAGATGTTTAATTCCTAAGATTAGTATGTGGTGGCAGCCGAGCTCATACGGGAGCTACCGTAAGCCGGAACATAAACTGCCCTGATGCAACTTCAATTCTAGCAACTTGCAACTATAATGTTTTTCCTATGTAATATCCTTTATTCAATAAAATGGTCTCATCCTATAAAAACTAAAAATCTCGCGATAACTGAAATTTCCAGCGTGTCCAATGATACTATGCACTGGGGATCGGGGGTTGATAATAAGTCATGGAGGTTTATAGTGAAATAATGTGGCACATTTGTTCGCTAATTTCTTTCCTAACTCTCGGTGTGTTTTGTTTGATCGGGATGATATTTCTCAAGCCGTGTCTCTCTCTTTTGTCTTTTAACGAGAGCTTAAGCAGTTGATTCCTCAAAGAAAAGAAGAAGAAAAACTTCAGCATTCGAACCCTGCATGCCATGACTGAAAACTGAATCACGGGCTAGCACCTTGGCAACTTAGGCTATGTAGTTGATTTGATAAATGTGACATTTTTGTAGTTCACATACTTAATAGTTAATAAGAGAATCACGAGTTAATAAAACAAGATATCCCGTTCTTCAAAAAAGGTATGTAGCATTAATTGTTATGTACAAAGGCGTTGTTTCCTGTCAGTACGCTAAACTTCTTATTTCACTCGTCAAACTATGTGACAATAAGTTGTTTAATTTCATCCTCTTTAAGAAATTTAACTAAATAATAAGTCGTATTTGTTCATCCACATTGAAGGGTAGCTTATGTAAATTTGATATTAGTAAGAGATTAGGTTTTTATGGGTGTAGGGGAAAATCGATGAATCATTGCCGATGGATTGTGATCCATTGATGAAACCATTGCGTGCAAAAGGGGAGAAGCAAACGGTTCGTAACAATTAAATATAGGTAGAAGTACAAGAGATTTGATACTAACGTGTTTGGTAAGTAGGCAAACTACATGTACATCCATCAAGAAAAGGTAATGGTGTAGGACAAGGAAGTGTAACCTGAAACATGAACTATGGTCATATAATCAAACAAACTTAATACAAGAATCGCATATTAATAGAGCATGAAACCAATACGAGGTTGTAAATATAACTAGGATCCCTACGTACTACGTAACTCTTAGTACTCTTAGTAGTAATCACTATGTGGTACATTAAGCGTTTAATTTCTAGTTTATACAGAAATTTACCTAAACTACTCCATGGCGAAAGATAGTGTTAATAAATTTTAAATAAATAATCTATTACGTATTGATGGGTACATCAAGTAAAATGCGATTTATTTTTAGATAAGTCATGGGGGACATTCGGTGAGCAAATTAAGTAATCATTACGTAACAATGGGGCCAACACATATGGTTCAAAGGAATTAAAAATCCATTGAATTACAATCACTCTGATCCCAATATTTCTACTACGTAGGCGGCTTACGAGTACAAGTTTATCAAGAAAAGTAATAGGGGACAACGAAGAAGCTGACCAAAAATCTTTAGTTTTTTAATAAATGGATATTGTCCAGTAAAAGATCCGAACATGTAGTGTGGTTGTTGGATGAGTTGCGTGTGGAGAGCTATCAAGACGAAGCTAGCTTGTTATTATAGGGGCCATGTCTCCTAAATAATTAAATATGTTTGTGCATTAACATAGACAGTATTGAATGAAATAATTAACCGAAATAACATTTATGTTTTAAAACATAATGTTACTGAGATGTACCTGGGGAGGCTCATCACTTGGAGGTTGATCAGAGTGTGGTGTACGTTGACTAGGTTCTCCGCGCTCTCTAATGGCTTTAGTAGCACTTCTAGTACGTGGCATCGGCTGTTTAAAAAAATGAGCATTCATAACATGTGATATTATTCTATAATTGTCAACAACCAACATTGATTTATAATGTATAGTTCACAAACATTAAGAAGATGACCACTGAAATGACACTCACCTGTGGGGGCTGGCCACCTTCCTCATCATTGCTATCGCCATCATCTTCCTCATCATACCCATCATCATTCTCAGGAGCATCCCAATCCTCGTTGGCGTCGTCATTAGATGAAGGAGGTGTAGGTGGCGGGACAAAATTATCGGGTTCAGGACAAGTATTTCTATAATGTCCATCCTTTTTCTTGCACTTACCACACCTTCTCGTTTTAAGTTTGGGACGGTTTGTTCCCTTGCTTTTCCTACACCCTTTATATATTACTTTCTTTGGGTCTAGCACACCTTCGTATTTCTTGGGTATGACCATTGTCTTTCTCTCGGCTGGGGTCGTTCCCATCATTTCTAACTTGTTAGTAACTGCTGTAATACCCCCTGAGCAACCTGATAAGAGAGTGGAGAACCTGCCCCTAATAAGAACAATCTCATCGCCAAGAACTGGAGTGACCCATACCTGCTGTTGAAATTATGATCATCCCCGATAATCCGTGGAAGTGGCATACTGGGCAACAACTTTGGGTTCTTGGACCATCGTTTCACTACCAAATTCTCGGGAAGGCTTTTCACCCTTTCTTCCTTCAGCACAAAGATCATGTGCGTACATGGTATTCTCATACTCGTAAACTTACTACAAATGCACTCCATCTCATTTGTGTTAATATTATATTTCACCTCCCGAACCGTATCTTTGTTAAACATGGTCAGACTGTATATGTGTAAGTTTCCATCAACACTTGTACCATTCTTGATGCAGCCCTCCACTTGCTTGAGTCCATTTGTGAATTCATCAAATGCTGATTTGGTGAATAACTTAGCTGCACTTAGTTCTAGGGTCCTTAGGACTGTACTCTTCAGAGGAGGTATACCATAATTAGATTTAAAATCTAAGTTCAACTCTGTTTCCCTCATATCTCTAATCCAGCGGTCGAACTGAATAAAGAACTCAAGAAAATTGTGGTCCTTGTCTACATACCTTGCAATATATGCATTAATTCCCTCACATCTGGAGGTCGTTTTCAAGCCAACAAAGAAGTTAGAGCGCATGTATGTATTTGCCCATTCTCTTCGTCTGTCAAACAAATATCTAGAAATCTAGGAATGATTCTCCAATGAATACTTCTCCAACAATGCCCTCCATTTCTCTTCAAATTCAACCTCCTCATAGTCAGCATCCACAAATTTGCTCCATCCCTCCACAAATTCTGGCTTGTTCTTCACATTGCTTTTAATGTTATTGGAGAGATGCCATGCACATAACCGATGGTTTGCGTGTGGGAAGACATTCCGAATGGCATTCCACATCACTTTGTCCCCATATGTTACAATGGTATGAATCACTTTCTCGCCCAGCATGTCCTTTAGAATATTTAAAGCCCAATTGTAGCTTTCCTCGGTCTCGTTAACCAACACGGCGCTTCCGAACAAACAGGATTTGAAATGGTGATTGATACCTAATAAGACATCGAATGTTCAACAAATCAGGTCAAGTATTACCGACCAAAGTATTGTAAACGCATCTTGAGAACATGGGCATTTTGCAAAATAATAAACTACAAAAGTTAAAAGCAATAAAGCATAACTTAATTTCGTTGCTGCCCACACTAAACATAGACCAAGAATAGACAAAACTATATATAGTGAATAGACAACACTGTGACCAGCATAAAATACATTAACAAGTCTCCCAAAACTATGTAAATCATGAAGGGACAAACTATTCACCTGAAAATATAACAAGAGGCATGTTATATATGTTTCTTTTGTAAGTGGTGTCAAATGCCAGCAAGTCTCCGAAAATTGAAATATCAGCAATGCTGATGCTGTCTGCCCAAAAGAGTTTCTCCAGTCTGTTTTCTTCGTCGACAGTGTGTCTTAAAAAGAATTGAGTGTCTGCACTTTTCTTCGATTCTAGATACGCAAGTGCTGTTGCAGCATCACCTCCACTAATCCTTGCCGTGCGATTTGTGCTATGGAAGTTATATCCATCTTTTTTTGTGTATCCCACCTTGTCATGCCCTCCAGCTGTTTCAACAGCTAGATTTATAACTTGAGAAGGTCTCATGCCTGCATTTGTTTTGAATCGAAAGTCCGCCTGATCTGCTTCAGTCAATCCTCTATGCGATCTCAAGTAATGAGTGCACTGTTTTCGAACTGGTTCATGAGAGTGTTGCACCTCAAATTTATCAACAATCCATTTTTTGTCGGTCTTGTTGAACACCACCCGTAGGTGTGCTTTGCATCCAAATCTGGTATCCATAGGCGATTCTCTCGTTTGCTCCCCTTTATGAGGGCGTCTATTTCCCTGACCGAAACAGACGTACTTTTGACTTGTTACATCGCCGTGGACATTCCGAACTTTCCTATCAATCCTGACAGAAAACCCCCACGCCTTCGCATACTTATTATAGAATGTATGCGCTTCATCAGGGCAATTGAACTTCCGACCGAGAACTTCTTCGGCTGTCAATGTTCGCAATGATTCAACCTCATCCTCTCCATTACACCCAACAACGTAGGGATCTGGTGCATACTCAGGTTCCTCCGTTCCAATAGCCGCCTCTCCATTTAACCCCCCACTTCTGTTGGCACGAGGAAGCTCTGGATTTTGGAGTTCATTTTCACCTAGCCCATTGACCTCGGTTCCCTCTTCTGCCATTGTTGAAGGCCACAATTTTAATCAGTTTGAGGGTTGCCGATATGAAGTTTTTTGTATAATGGGCCTGCATATGAATTTGTAGATTGGTATTTGTGTGCACGGTTTCTTTTCCCTCTCTAATCGTTCCCGAGTTTACAGATGTAGTGAATTCTTGTAATTTTATTGGTTTTAATTATTAGGGTGGAGAATTGCCATGTCACCAAAACTGATTCATGCTATCAGAGAGGACAAATCGGTTGGTTGGGATTCTTATTACTTCTTATCTTTTATTTATGGGGTTTTCGATCGGGAAGAGGGGAGGGATTCATTTACTGTCAAACCAGAGGAAACATGGAATGCCGATGGCGGCGGGACAGCTACCAACAACAGTCATGGTAAGTTGTTTTTGTGGATTTATTTCCTTCTCGGGTTTGGTATGTTTGGATTTTTATTTGTTGTTTGGTTTGAATTCTTATTACTTCTTATCTTTTATTTATGGGGTTTTCAATCAGGAAGAAGGGAGGGATTCGTCTACTGTCATGCCAGAGGAAACATGGCATGCCGATGGCGGCAAGACAGCTACCAACGACAGTCATGGTAAGTTGTTTTTGTGGATTTATTTCCTTCACGGGTTTGGTATGTTTGGATTTTTAATTTGTTGGTTCATGCTAATCTAATTTGATGTAAAGTATTGAGGTCATTCACTAATTAGATTAGAGTTTCAGAATTCAGACTGTCAATTGTTTTTCCTAGCTTCATGAAATGAATTGAATACAGTCTTTAATGTTAAAACAGCTTTTGCAGAGATGACAGTCTGGAATATAATTAACCATTCTACAACTTACACACCAGGATCAAACAAAGTAGGGTTGCATTCATACATGGATTTATTTACATATAGTTATTTCTGCTCTTACTTTGCCTGCATCGACCCACTTAAGCAAAGTAGGGTTGTGATTTTGGTTTAATAATTGTTTAAATAATGGCAAAGGTCATTGCTTATTGAGGATGGAATTTATAGAACTGTTCAAATAATGTTGTTTTTATAAATTGCAGCAGACAAGTTTGGACCCAAAAAACACCAATGGAACAATGGAAGAGTCAGGGGATAAAGAAAAGGGAAACATAGTCTCTGAAGATCACTGATGTTGGGTTGTAAGGGAGGAATTTGTGCAGATGATTTCCACCCCTAGTGAGTCCAGTTTTATCACAACTTGGATGTCCCGCCAAGCATGTGTAGGAGTAACTTACAATGTTCATGACACGTGAGACTCATCAGCTTAAACTATTCACCTCCATGTAACTTACGGAGTTACAGTTGCTTACTTTTCTGTGGTTGAGTTATTGGTAGTTGCGGGCTAGGAAATTTGTTTTATGTTTTGACTTTTGGTTTGGATTTAGCAATCCATTTGGTTTCCTATTTCTTACCCAACTTCGCATTATTTTCCTCTTACTTGAGCAGTCAGAAACCAAATGGGTTCTTTTTCGAAAATTAGGATTTGGGTATTCTTGGTTTGTCTACTTTTGTACTCTTAGTTGGTATTCAATTTGTATTTTTCCTCTTGTGTACTCAAATCATTATTGTGTTTTCGTTTCTTGCTTTGACAATTCTATGTACCTTGGGTACTACTTTAGTTTCACTTTCCAGATCTGTTGCCTCTATATGCTCTTGCATATTGCTAAGTCTAATTTTATTGCTTCTGGTATGTGAGCCAGTGATGACAACATGTCGGAGGAGAATCACAACGGGAGAGCACTTGCAGCCTCTGCTATTTTGTCTCAGTTTCCAGGAAATGTTCCATTTTAGTTTTTAATTTTCTTCATTTTCATTAGTACTCTGTGGTTAAGTTGCAATGTTAGTGTTGATTTGCTTCTCATGAATTCGTAAATTGTATATGATGCCTTTGTTAATTGTGAAGTGTTGATGCCATAAGCAAGGACCCAATAATGTGAAATGTTTTACCAGTTGCCTTTACTTGCATGCCATTTTTTGTCATCAAATCACATTCTTGTTGCAATTAATTGTACCATCTTTTGCATATGTTGCAATTATCAGGGAAATGGTCATTTTCACTGCCTGATAACGAGGGAAATTATAGCTTCAATTTTCCCGTTGTAGCACCCTTTGAGTCTTTGTAAGCGTGTCGGCTCTTGGATCGAAATGATTAATTGGTTCAATGTTGTTGCCTCTTTTTGTTAGCTGGTTCTTGCATTCATGATTAGGATGTAAAGCTGTAAATCTATATTAAGCTGTAAATTTATAAATACTTAGAACTAATACTGAGTGATATGGACTGGTGCGAATGGGTAGGATGTAAAGCTGTAAATCTATATGTTGCTTGGAGGCGAGAATTGTGCTAGATCTCTGTTTTCATTGCCTCAAGGTTTGGTGTACGTCTAACAGTTTTATGTTTTTGTATAGTTATTTTCGTCCACAGGCGGGGAATAGGGGAGAATTAGGAATTGTTGCATTTGAGTAACATTGAACCTCAAATTGTTCTTATGATTTAATGATTTAATTTATCGGTTTGAGGTACAACTCCAGCAGCTCCAGTGTGGAAGGTTACGATGATGAGAAGGCTGCTATCGATAGTGCGGTTTTCCTTCCCTCTACTCTTCTCTCCATTCACCTAGCTCAATGTGACGAGCATTATGTTTTACTTTTACTTCCCTTTCTTTCCTTTTTTGTTAACTATATTGCTAGGTCCATATTGAGATTATGAGTTTGTTGCTTTTGTTCACGGTCGTCCATGGCGAATTTGTCAGGTAGCCATATGCAACACCATAATAGAGATGCTACTAATGCAAGTAGCAAAACTCCTCCTTCCAACAGAAACCGTGTGTCCAACAAATCGTCGGAGGAGGGGCCGATGCTCGAGGATGGCCTATCTAGGTGAGTTTTGTCTCTCAAAATATTCTACCTATCCATGGTTCGGTTGGTCTGTAACAGACTAAGCTACCAGAATCTAATATATTTTTCCTGTTTTTTAGCCTCAGGGAGAGCCAGTTTCAATTATGCAATTTTGGTTATGTGAATATATATATGGGAGTTGAGCAAGTTTTATGCAGAATGGTTGATCGACCTGATCAATTTCTTGCATACCATCTTGAATTTAATAGCTTATACTGTGATTGATGTTTCTGGTCAGTGTTCGTTCACATTTGGGATCTTTAGTGTGTGAGAACCTTAGAAGTCCTTGATGGTCGATTATTTGAACAATATGTAGTTGTAATTCTCAGTGTTAGTACACATATATAGAGTGCAAGCTGCTGCTCCATTTCTGTAAACATGTGTCGGTTTATGACTTTTGACAACTATGTGGTTAAGTTCTCCTATCTTATTACTTGGAGTTTCTATTTCATTAGTTCTAATTATGTGTTTTCTATTAGGATTAGTAATGCGTGTATGGAGTGAGCAAAAAAGAAGGACCATAAACACAGGTTTCGTAACTGCAAGGAAGGTTTCTAGGTTCTCATCTTTGAATCTTCTATATTCATGTTGTGTTGTCTATCATTCCTCCTAATATTTCTCGTCGTAGGACCTATCAAGTTTCACAGTTAGAGAAACAAGCAGCCAGAGGGGGGGCCTAGAATGTGATCAAGAACCTAAACGCTGCAAGAAAGGAAGTCACCAGCTTAACCGGGAGAGGTGACAGAAAAGGATGTTGTGGCCATGTTCAACGACAAGGATTGGTCCATGTTGAATGCTTTTCATACCTTACAATTAGAGGTTGGATTTGTGTTATTTTATATTTCACTTTTTCCACGGGATGGATAAGTTTTTCTCATGAATTGAACTTCAGCCCAGACATCACCTTAGGTTTGTTGTGTTCATTTACTTTGCCCACACATGGAATGAAATCGAAATTAACAGTTCGCCTTTAAAAATTCCAAGTATTTTAGATATCACTTCACCTCCAACTTCACACCAGTCCCCTTATTAGCACCTTAAAAACAAACTTAGTTGTTCCATGCACAATGGTGGATTTTGCCTTTCTACGATCTAATGCTATACTGAATTCTCCATAATGTTATGTACGTTGTCTATTTAAGATCGTGAGATGTTAATTTTGCAACCCGCCGCGCAGCACGGGCTTTCCGACCTAGTGTGTTATAAAAATGGCAAAAGCTTGGACTTGGTTCGGATCTTATCAATGTTTAGGTCGATAAAAGACTCAATCACTGGACATCAAGATAAATAAGTTTCAGGCTGCAAGTTTTATGCACATAATATGTGGAACAAAGAGGCCTCCAAGAACGACAAAAGAAGAAAGCAAGCAAGCTGCACTTAGTTCCCCATAATGCTTCATTCTTTTTTGTATTTCCCTCAACTACACAAGAAATCTCTGGCGTTAGTTAATTCCATGCCCATCACAGGCCATGGGTTCACACCAGCAGCTGGTAGCATAGGCCGAACAATGGGAACCCGTCTCACGACGGAGAATGCTTCGTTCAGTCGTGCAGCACGGCTCATGAACTGCGACACCTTATCATCAAGGGTAACTTTAAGCTCCAAGCTCCAAGCTCCTTGCCTTACGCTTCATCTTATATAACTTCCGACCAAAAATGACAAATCCCATTACAGCTGCAGCCATTGCGAAAGTCTACATGGGCTAACTTTGAAAACACAGAACTTCAACAACTCAAAGGGAACTTTCCACGAGACCACTCGCTGCTTCTTCCCCTCATCACCACCATTCGATTTCCCGTCCCCAGTTTCAACAAGACGCAAGTTCTCCTCCACGGAGCATTCCCACCACGAGTGGCTTCGTCACTCATAACCTCCAGAACCCAAAACCAAACCATCACCAACAGAACCAGACCAGAACTTGGTCATATCTTTCTCATTCCCTACCTTCTGCTCAATTTCTTCAAAACCCAGTTGGCGACTCTTCACATTCTCCTCTAAACCTGATTCACACTTCGCCTCGCAGCTCAAAAGATCGCTCACCAGCTGATCAAACTCCATTCCATAAAGTAACTGAAATCACAACGTGATCTTGTATATTGATACATTAGTCAGTCAGTCGAGATACCATTTCGAGGGAAAATCCAGAAAATTTTATTTATTCAGTTTATCACAAAGCCACCACCTGCAGGCATCGTATCATGATATTCATAATTCACTCATCACCACCATAATTTAGCAACAGCCATCCACGCAGCAAACTCCCTCACATCTGAGATTGGGGACCCTCCCAACAAAATTGCAGCAGCGACAAACTTCAACAAAGAGACAATGAAACCAAGTTGTGAGCTTATTTTATACACAAATGGTGGTCATGCTATTTATATGAATATGGTCCTCTAACTACAAAGAGACAATGAAACCAAGTTGTGAGCTTATTTTATACCTGATTGGGGTTGAACCAGATGCTCGAAGCTCTGTTGGCGAGTGGCAGGCACAACATTAACACCAATGGCGGCCACAATAAGCACCACCACCAGCCAAGTGAAAGCAATGAACAACTTCTTCTCCTTCCTCACCATGATCTCGATAAACATAGGCAATCCACCAAAGGCCTTCGAGCTAGATATCGACACTGGTAGCAACCTTACTTGGGTCCAATGTGATGCCCCTTGCACCGGCTGCACCAAGGTAAAATGAATGAAACAACTGAGTGGCTGTTAATAGACTTTCAGCAGTATAAGAAGCATGATGATACTGAGCGGATCCTGTCATTTCTAACATCACAGTCAATAACTTTTAGTCATCCGACCGATCACTAGCAGGATCAGAGCAGAATCCAACTTAATTTTTTGCCTCTGAACTGATTGTCAATAGCAGGATCGATCCAACTCGGATTATCAGACTCAACAGAGCTCTCTAACTCACCAGCTCAAGCAACAACAGACTTATCAAACATCCTATCTTTTCTAATACAGAAGTAATCCAACCTGATAAGCCAGCGGAATCCACCTCGATCTCCTCGAAACTCCTCCGATTCTCCTCCAATACAGGGGACCTAACCACAACAGCCTCGGCGTCGGAATGAACCTCCCACTCCTGAAACTCCAGCGAACCTTCTCCTTCCATGGCTATGTGAGAAAAAGTGTAAATCTAACATCCTATCTTTTCCAATAGAGACGTAATCCAACATGATCAGCCAGCGGAATCAACCTCGATTTCCTCGAAACTCCTCCGATTCTCCTCCAATACAGGGGACCTAACCACAACAGCCTCGACGTCGGAATGAACCTCCCACTCCTGAAACTCCAGCGAACCTTCTCCTTCCATGGCTATGTGAGAAAAAGTGTAAATCTATCTATCTCTACCTCTACGAATTGGGAGAAAGAAAGAGAAAAGATTGAAGCTTAACACCCAAATTCGGCGACCCTTTTTGGATTTTTGATTTGTGATTCTGGGGAAAAATGAGACGAGAGGAAGAAAGGGAAAGGAAAAAGAAGAAGTCGCAGGGTTAGTTTGATTTTTTATCATCGTCGATCAGCTTCTAACTGGAGAACGATTGAAACAAAATTCTAAACAATGTATAATATTTGAGTGTTGGAACTGAAGTTCGAAGAAAGTAGGGTGCCAAAGTACACAAAGTTCTAAAAAAAAGTTTGGGAGCTATAATGCGCGTATAAAATAGTAATGGGTGTTGTTAGTAATTATATTTGCTAATTAATAATTAATTAAATCATTATTACTAATGACCGTCAGATTAGATCAACGGTGTCAGGCATCTGGCGTACGCCCCATTGAGTTTTGCTATATATATATATATATAACAACTTAAGAAAAGAATACATGCATATGTATGAAAATTATATAAAATTTCGCGATTGAAAAAAGGATGTCTTTTGTTGGTTAGGTTATCGAACGATTATTTTGGTATAACCTTGTCGAATCACTTGGTTAAAGGTTATCTGGTTAACTGAAAAAATAACCGAGAACCAACAATACGGTCACGGTTAACCGACTAATTTAAATAGTGTGGTTAAAGGTAAGCACAAAGTGCTTAACGGTTAATAAAAAACCGACTAATTGGTTTCGGTTATAACCGACCCGATTATCCGCCCTAGTCATGTATAATCTTTTGATCCATTGTAGCTGCGGAACAATCTCAACATGAAATATGATTAACTCTAGGATCTTATAGACATCATTGATCACATATCGATTCTCGATGTTGCAGTTGCATTTGCAGCAAGCAGTATCACAGCGATGGCTGCATCCTGCAGAAAAATTTGAACCAAGTAGTCCCTTACTACAAAAAAGACAGACAATTTTGACGAAAACTTACTGACAACACAGATTTTGCGTTAGAAAAATGACGAAAATTGAGCGTAGTCAGTAAGTCCATCCTTTTTACTGACAACATAAAATGGTCGTCCGTAATGGTATAATTTTCCGTTAGGAATAGGCCTTTCAGGGAGGGTGCAATTTTGAATAGACATTTTTTATGACGGATATACTTATTCTGTCAGTAATGTTTAGTGTTATTGACGAATACCAATTTGGCGTCGAAAAAAGAGTGTATTATTGACGGTGAGCACCTCGTAAAAAAAAAAAAATTGTGACGAATAGTTAGTGTCATCGATAATACTTTGTCGCCACCAAGTCGTCGGAAATAATAGATATTACCAATGACAATTGTATAGTCATCGGCAATACATTGTAAAAAAAAGGCTTTGTAACGTAGGACATGGCTTATAAATGTTAGCTGTTTGTGATGACATTAATTGTGACAACAATCCATCCTCAGTTGAGGATATGGAACGCTTCAGCCATCAATCAAGTGAATAAGTATATTGAAGATATAATAAATAATGCTTCATAAAAAACATATATGATTAATTAATTACTTTTTATGAAACTTATCCATTTGAGTATAAATTATTTATAGTATCCAACATAAACGAAAGATGGTGTGTATATATAATTATATATGGGGTAATGAATGGTCAATCAATATTTTCTATTAAATGAACTTCGGCTTTAAACTCGGAGCCTGTGGTTTATCTATTAGAGTTTCGGGTATAGTATCATAACCCAAATTCGATTTAATTCATGGTCTAGATAGAGATATCTCACTGAAAATAACTGGAGTATAATATACACTAGAAGTACAGCAGAAATATAAGGTACATATATATATATGTACCTTATAAAATGTTACACCTCAGCACAATTTTGTAGAACATAAGAAGTTCCTGCCTTTCACAAAACATTATCGAAGTCTCTCATGTCGTCCTTTACACCAATGGCACGACAACACACGAAACAACTGATAATTCACGAGGTCAAGAAGATGATGAATATATATATCTTCATTTCTCTCCAGCCAATTAAAAGTCGTTTCCACTTCAGTCAAGTAATGCGAGCAAAATGTGACGCATTCAATGACCGAGCCATTATTGCAATCGGTCCCTTTTGCTCTGGTTTGGTCGGATCACATTTTTCTTTAGTAATTACAAAATTAATGGGACCAACAACTGGATCTCATTATACTCGCTTCGATATGATTCGATCAAAACATCGATTTGGTCTGGAATACCCATTAGGTTCTAGAATCCTCCGGCCAATCGCAAACATTAACATTTAATTAGTGAGATGTTGCTTTTTAGTTAGATTTTAATTAACAAAAAAATCATAATTCCCCATAAACTTCTTTTATGCGCTATTACCTTTACTCTCCCGCCTCCTTCCCCTTTTCATTGTGTCGCCGGTTTTCCCCCTCTCGCTCCATTCCCCTCGTCTCTCTCTCTCTCTCTCAAGCAAGAGGCAAGAACAACCCACAAAGAACGATCTCCTTCACCTTTCATTCATCTGGTCTGGCCGATTCCGAGTTCTCTTGCGCCTCCTTCCATATACTCCTAAAGACAACAATCTCAGATTTCTTCTTCTTCCTTTCGCCTCCATGACCTCCATCACCGACCATAAAGAAAGAGGACGCGGTTTTCAATCACGCTCAAGGTAACATTTTGTTTGCAAGAGAGATAGAGACCGACCGCTCCCCTACATTTTGAATCAAGGCCAGATCTGATCCTTGGATGTTTGTGCTCGCCCTGTTCCTCGGACTTCTACTGTAACATCCCGTTCCGGCAAAACTCGTATTTCGATCGCTAGAAGGTTTGCGATTTAAAATCGAATGTTTTGATAGTATTTCGACGAAAATCGGATTATAGATCGATCTTATAAGTATACGTATTAATTATATATATATGTCAAAGGCTAGCGAACGTCCGAGCGTACGCTAGCCTACCGTACGCCCCATTGAGTTTTGCTATTTAGACAAAGAATTAATCGGAGTTTGGGACATGATACTATACCCTACCCCCTAATGGGTGAATCCCAGTCTTCGTTTAATCTTAAAAATGAAAATCAACGATTCTGATTCGTCGAAATTTTCATTGGTTTTCATTTTAAGATTAAATGAACCTCATGGTTTGGGTTAGAAAATTAGGGACTGGGGTTCACCCATTAGAGGTTAGGGTATAGTATCATGTCCCAAACTCCGATTAATTCATGATATATATATATATATATATGGGTCAGACTGGCGTACGTCAGGCGTATACTATACGTCAGTTCAGGCTAGCGTACGCCCCATTGAGTTTTGCTATATAGATCATGAATTAATCGGAGTTTGGGACATGATACTATACCCTAACCTCTAATGGGTGAACCCCAGTTGGGTTAGTGAATTGGGGACTGGGATTCACCCATTAGGGGTTAGGGTATAGTATCATGTCCCAAACTCCGATTAATTCTTTGTCTAAATAGCAAAACTCAATGGGGCGTACGGTAGGCTAACGTACACCCGAACGTACGCTAGCCTTTGCCATACATATAATTATTTTTTTTATATATATATATATATATATATATATATATATATATATATATATAAGCGGAACCGCTTATAAAAAAATGACCCTTTGCAACATCTGACCTCTTTGAATTTGGAAAAAGACATTTCTACCCCGGGGTATAATTAAAAATCTCAAATACACAACTTTAAATAAAATACCGAACTCATATATCTCAATATCTCAAATCGAAGCCCTAAACACGTGGGCAAAACTCAAATTGTCCAAAAGAAATGAATCTCCAATCTTTAACTCTTAACCATAAAGTCTTAATAACTTAAAAAGTTCTCCGATGCTTACTTTGACGCCTGGCTCGACATCTCTCAGCAACGATGGTGTTGAGCTCCGCTAGCTTGCTGATCACGGACTGTCTGGTTAGGATTTCCTCCCCTATGATCTGGTGAGTGAGTTGGGGTCAGTCTACGCCCTTACGATTGAAATCTCTAATACTTTAGTATTCTTCTCTAAACACTTAACTTCTACTAGGGGAAGTCGTTTTGTACTTCCATTCTTAACCATCTTAACTCATAAAATTCTTCGGGAGTTAAAGTTACTCTCCCTTCTTAAAGCTCAAAACTTGACTTAAATCTTTTGACTGACACGGGGATCCCTCACTAGCTAGTCCGGTTGCCCAATTCATACGTATGAGAAGCGATCCAGGCTTTCCTTAAACTTAAACGTAGTTAAGGAAGTCGTAACGATTCATCCCCCTAACATCTTAAACTTTATCGTGGTGGCTCTTCACCACGATTCTCAAGAGCATAACTGCTGCTCATCTTAAAAGTCTCAAGATCATAACTGCTGCTCTATCTCAAAATGTCTCAAAAGGCAACGGACTGGCGCTAGTGACTAAAAACACTTAAAACGACTTCACCTTCTTGAAGGTGAGTTACTTCTCTAAAAAGAACTGGTTTCTTAACCTTAACAATAACTTAAAAATGGAAAGCTTTAAATTAACTAAGGACTCATGCGCATTCACATCAAGTATAGCTCAAACAAAATCACATATCATCAACCATAAGCACAATCAAACAACGACAATCACTTCATCAAGATACGTAAGGCTTGTAATTCTTGAAAGAACACGTAAGGCGTAGAATTTACACCCTTTACACTCACCTTGTAAAGATGACTTCTCGATTCCTTACTCGAATTAATCCCTCCTAGCCGAATTATCTCGGTGAACCTATTAATAAGAATGCCATCTCCTTAGTCGACCTT